TCTTCTTGGATGCCTAAGACGTGGTCCATCTCCTTGTCCTTCATGTGTCCTATCTTAATGGCCAGCATCACGTCGTCTTGTTCAGGAGGAAAGGAGAAAATGAGGTTGAAAAGCATGATGGTTGGAATGCAACATTTCTGATGTTATTGTTATAACATAGAAATGACGAGGAAATTGATATAGCAGTAATGATGCTGCTGAATTGCTTATAATGATATTAAAGATAATGACAATAATATTATAACTGCTACTCTTAAATCATCTACAAGACTGATATTGGTACTAATACTATTAATGATAAGAACAAACCGATATTACGACTAATATTACTGCTATTAAGTGCTATGCTCATCCTCATTAGTCTCGTCCTTAGTACCTTTGAGAGGCCTCTTCGCGCACGCCGGGCTCGCGCTTCCCCTGCCCGTGGTGCTGGAGACGCTGCCCTCCTGCTCCTTGCCCTTCGATGACATCTTCGCTCGCGGCCCCGTGGACTTGCGCTGCCTGCTGCTGGTCCTGGTCCTCCTCGACGCCGTGCGCGGCCCCGGCGGAGGCCCCGTCGAGGTCACCGGCGCGCACTCGTCCGTCTCCATCGCCTCGTCCTCCTCCTCGCCGTCCACCTCGAAGTCCGAGCCCGAGGCCTCGACGGCCAGGGAGTCGTGGAGGTCCTGGCTCTCCCCCGACTCGTCGCGCAGGAGCTTGGCCTCGACCTCCGCCGCGACGTCCCCCTCGGGCCCCGCCTTCGCGTTCCTCTGGCCCCTCCTCAGCGCCGACGACGAGTTCCTCGAGAGGGTGAGCACCGACACGCCCACGTCGCCGTCGTAGACCTCGACGGACATGCCCCTCAGCGCCTGCTCCTGGAGGCGCGCCTGGAGGGACCGGTCCGACCACTGGCGCTTCAGCACCGACGACGCCGGCGACGGACGGTACTTCTGCGTGAGCTCGGCGCAACTCCGCCAGCGGATCGACCCCATGTCCGGCTTCTTCCTCCGGGCGAGGGCCGAGGGGCGGGGCGTCGGGAAGCCCTTCAGAGGCAGGTCGGAGGACACGGCCAGGGTCTCGATGGCGGAATCCGTGTCGGAGAACTTGGCCGGCGGGGACGTGCCCAGGCCCGAGCCGTAGTCGCTGCTGCAACTCTCGCTGTCGTCCGTGTCTGGCTCCTGCGGGGGGGGGGGGGGTCTTTAGTAACTTTGGAGGTGGTTCCATGAGGATCGTTCCTATACTGCTGATATGAGGATAATGATTACCATTGTTATTTTATAAATCATCACCATCATTATTATCCCTATCATCATCATTAATTATCATTATCCCTATCATCATAATTATCATAACCATTATCGTTATTTTGATATATATATATGAACTCACTGAGAGACACTGATACTAATTTTCCTTTAGATTAGCAAAGGGAAAGCCCGAGGGAGAGAGTGCCAACGGCGCCACAGACGTCTCCTGCTGTTGCTCCCTTGCACGCGCTAATGCAGTGGCAATGGAAGCAACAGTCAGTGTAGGGAACTCAGACGCTGCAGGTCGCCGTGTTATCATTATTATGATCATTATCATTTTTTTACTATCATTATTATTGTCGTTATTATCATTATCATTATGGTTATGATCATTATCAACATTTTACTATCTTTATTATTATCATCATTATCATAATTATAATTTTATCATTTTCATCCTTGTTATAATAATGATAATGATAATAATGACAATACTGCCAGCAATAATAATAATTATTGTCATTATCATTGTTGGTCTTGTTTTTGTTGCTATCATCATATTATTATTATCATCATTATCCTCATCATTATCTTCATCATCATTTTCCACTTCCTATTCTTCCTATCATCACAGTTATTATTATCGCCACTCATACCAATATTAGTATCACCATTATCATTCTCATTGCCAGCATTGCTTTAGTATTGTTTTTTTTTCTCTTTTTATAATCATCATCATTATTATCATTAGCAATAATAGCATTGACGATTATGTCGATAACTGCAGTAATAGTAGTATTGATAATGGCATGATTATAATTATCGTATTATCATCTCTATTGTTATTTTTGTTAATATCATGATCATTATATGATTACTATTATCATCAGCTTTCTCTCTTTCTATCTCTATTTCTCTTTCTCCCTCCCTCCCTCCACCCTTCCTTCCCCTCCCCTTCTCCTACCATCCTCTCCTCTTCCAGTACACCCTCTAATTCCTTCTTTCTCCCCTCCTTCTCTCCCTCACCCCTCTCCTCCCTCTCCTCTCTCCTCTAAATCCTCTTTCTCCCCCCTCCTCTCTCCTCTCTATACTCTCCCTCTCTTCCTCTTCTCCCTTCGCTTCATCCCCTCTCTCTCCCTCTCTTCCTCTTCCTCCTTCGCTCACATCTTAATCTCTCTTCCTCTCCCTCCTCTCTCTCCCTTTCCCTACTCTCTCTCCCCCCTCTCCCCCTCTCCCTACTCCCTCTCCTCTCCCTCGTCTCTATCCCTCTTCCTCTCTCTCCTTCGCTCACATACCTTAATCACGGACGTTAAGCAGTCGACTATCCCGAAATTATTGCACTGGAAGACCTCGGAAATGTTGAAGTCGTAAGACGTTCCCAGGGTGCTGTTGCCTCCGCTGTCGTCGTTGGTGCTGTCGGGGTCCTTGCTGCTGCTGCTGCTGCTGTCTGGGAAGGGAGAGGGAGATGAGGAGAAATGAGGGAGGAACTGTGAGGGTGTTATGAGAATGAGGAAGGACTTTTTATTATATTATATATATATATATATATATATATATATATATATATATATATATATATATCTTTTATTTTCTACTTTATTATCTTCTTTTTTTTTAGAATGGAGGTAAGGGTGGAAGACGATTGCGTATGCGATCATATGTGTGTGTGTGCTTGTTAATGTGTGTGTATGGGTGCGTGTTGGCGTCTGAGTGCGTTGTTGCGTATTTGCGTTTGTGCGTGTATACTTGTGTACGTGTGTTTGTCCGTCGATATATGCAAGTGCGCGTGCGTGCGTTCGTGCGAGTGTGTGTGTGTATGTTTATGTGTGTGTGTGTTTGTGTGTGTGTGCATCTGTGTGTATGAATGTGTGTGTGTGTGTTTGTGTATCTGTGTGTGTGTGTTTGTGTGTGTGTGTGTGTGTTTGTGTATCTGTGTGTGTGTGTGTGTGTGTGTATGTGTGTGTGTGTTTGTGTATGTGTGTGTGTGTGTTTGTGTGTGTGTTTTGTGTCTGTGTGTATGTGTGTGTGTGTTTGTGTATCTGTGTGTGTGTGTGTGTGTGTATCTATGTGTGTGTGTGTGTCCGTGTATGTGTCACACCGACATAAAGAGAAAGCCATAAACGCATCATATCCCCCCAACGAGACTCTGCCAACCGCAAACCAGAACCGACAGATCCCAAGGAGAGAGAAGAACCATGCGAAACGGCGACAGAAAAGATAAGGGGAAATACCGAAAAGATCAATAATCATTTTCCTGCATCTTGCCTTTATCTAAGATAAGCCGAGGTTTATTAGAGATAAGAGATTAGCGAAGCCGAGGTCCCAGGACGCGTGAAATGTGCGATGTAGGCGTAGAAGATGCGTGAAAGATGGATGTGTGTTATGTGTTCTTCGCGTGAGCCCATACAAGTGCCTTGAAGGTGTATAGATACGTCTCTCTCTCTCTCTCTCTCTCCTCTCTCTTTCTCTTCTCTCGCTCTCTCTCTCTCTCCTCTTTACCTCTGTCTGTCTGTCTGTCTGTATCTCTCTCTTCTCTCTCTCTCTCTCTCTCTCCCTCTCTCCTCTCTCTCTCTCTCCTCCTCACTCACTTGAAATGGAGAGGAGGAGGAAGGGGGAAGTGTTAACCTCGCTCTTGGGAAGAGGGTAGGAATGCTTTTCTGTGCAAGTCAAATGTAATGTTGACATGGAATGTGTATAGACACGCCACACGTAATTTAATTCTCCATTCTCCTTCCCTTCAACCCGCTATCCCTTTCTCTGCCTTTCTATGCAGACGAAATCGCTACATTGCTTGTTCCTGGGAAGTGTTACGGACATTATAATCACACAAATAATGTTATTTATAATTCTTAAATGAAGTATAAGATATTAAAGAAAGTCATGGAAAAAGATAAACAGGTGCAATAGGTAGTACTGACTGACTCCTTGGTGACTAAATATTTTTAGTTATCTACGTGTTAATCATCAAACTAAACTTACAGTGGACATGGGATATCAATCAAAATATATGCGAAGGATACTGAAGGATGATTGGTTTTATTCAAGGTAAGAAAAACATTTTCACACTTTAAAATGGAAATAGGCTGGGGTAGGTTTTCTAATGCATGGCTGTATAATTGTTCACCTTATCAATAATAATACATAAGGAATACCACAAAGAAGACCATACACTATATAAAAATAATAATAATAACTTAAAAATGTCATTATTATTAAACTGTTAAATTTCACACTCAACCCTGAAGTACTGTCAACGAAGTACCATAGTAATAAGTAATTGACTTTACTTCAAGGAGAAAGCAATTGCGAATAACAATCGAAATAGTTATAGTAATAGTTGAAGCAGTAGTAGTAGTAATAGTGATAATAGTAAAATGATAATAATATTGATGATAATATTCTAATACATTCTGTTTGGGATGTGTGTGATGAATACACCACTGCACCATATGTAAATAATAGACTTAAATGTCCTTGGGATTCTATCTGATAGGTATACCTTTATCTATCTCTCTGTTAGGTTGATCTGCATGTGTAGACCGATAAATATGCATTTTTCTATTTATGTATATCAAATATACGAATTATTCATTGGGTAGGACCTCGCACAATTTTCACAAAGCGATAGAATGTCTCTTGCTTTGATTAGGAAGGTGAACAGCTGACTTTGTCCACAGGTATTCTGACGGATGGTGGCAGGAGGAGGAGAAGGTTCGTGCAACTGCTTGGCTCCTCTTTGTTTCTGCTCATTAAGTTGTAGAAGGGTTTTACTGCTTGTGGGCATGTGACACTTCGCAGTTCTCTCTCTCTTTCTATCTATTCATCTATCTAGATCTATATATCTGTCTGCATTTGTATGGGTGTATAAGCAGACATATCCACACAAACAAACGAACACTATATATATATATATATATATATATATATATATATATATATATATATATATATATATATATATATATATATATATAAACACACACACAATACCACACACACACACACACACACCAACACACACTCGCCCCCGATGCATTAGGGAAAAGTCCCTTCCTCCGGCGCCTCCAGCCTCCGAACGGCAAAGAGACTTAGACGATTTCTTTATTTGTCGACGGGAAGTGAGAAGTAACTGGCGGGCGGGAGGTTCCGAAGGCGGGCAATTTAATATTTCCTGCGTCGTTCGCCAGAGATTTATTGCCTTATAAAACCTCGCAAGAGCACCGGTTCGCATGCCTCCCTTCCATTATGTGTCCGTCTGTGGGTTTTTTTTCTTTTCTTTCTTTCTTTCTCACTTCTCTCTTTCCTCTACGCTTGTGCTTTCCCTCAGGGTTGCCAACCCTTCTCCCCTCCCCTGGATTTTTATTTTTATCGCCAGGGGTACCAACAGTTTTTTTTAACGGTTGGTAGTTTCATTATTGTTTTATTATTTTCAGTACTATTTTATTTTATTTTTTATTTCACTTTTTCGTATTTTGTCATTGCTTTTTTTTTGTTTAATTGATTTTATTTCTGCTATTTCTCTTCAATCTTAACCTCGGGACTTTTAAGGATTGTTAATAATCTTTTGATAGTTTATATTTATTCTTGATTAATATTTCAAATCTTAGATGCTACCGTCGACAATACCACTTTCCTTCCAGTGTTGCCAACCTTTCACGACCATCTCTCCCAATAATATTAATAATAATAATAATTAATAATAATAATAATAATAATAGGTATAATAATATATATTATATAAATATAATGATATATATATAATAATACCCAATAATAGGTATTACCAGCGTTTCCTTTCCCGTAATCTTTTATCAATACCAACAGGCCTATTGGTCTCATTGGCATGTCCCATCACGACCATTTTAGCAGTAATCCTGACCTTTTCTCTTATTAGTATGACAGAAGAAAACCCATTATCTAATTATTCCTAATGACATTGGTCTTTTCACTTACTACATAAAAAAAAATATATGAAGGGATAATTAAATAATATGAAGGGATAATTAAATAATATGAAGGGATAATTAAATAATATGAAGGGATAGTTATAATATGAAGGGATAATTAAATAATATGAAGGGATATTAAAATATGAAGGGATAATCAATAAAATAATATTGTCCATTTTACTATAACATGTACTGCACAGCATTTCTACATGAAATACATCTTTCCGTATTCCGTTTACGCCAATAACGTAACATAATATACAAATATTTTTTATAAAAAGAAAATTATAAAAAAAAAAAAAATATACAAATGTCACATAAGTACCCATCTGAGTCAGAGTAAACCGTAAAACATTATATGGAACACTATACGCTCACACAAACAAAAACACACACACAGCATTGAGCGTAAAACACACACACACACAAGGCGCAAAGTATATGAAACACACACACACACACACACACACACACACCACACACACACACCACACAACACACAACACAGAGAAAGAGAAGAAAGAAGAGAAGAAGAAGAAAAAAAACAGTACACCAAAAAAAAAAGAGAGAGAAAAAAAGAAGACAAAAAAAAACAAAACAGTACACAAAAAAGAGAGAGAGAAAAAAAAACAAAAACAAAAAAAAAAAAAACAGTGCACAAAAGAGAGAGAAAAAAAAAAAAAAAAAGAAGAAAAACAAAACAGTACACAAGAGAGAGAGAGAGAGAGAAAAAAACGAAAAAAAAAAAAAGAAATGTTCGATGATCGAGTGTCTATTGATTCCCTCCATTGATCAGGGTCGTGAGTCGACGACCTGCCCTTCCCTAACAGGTTTGGAATCTGAGCTAAAAATAGCCGAGCTCAGATGGCCAAGCTCGATGGCCAAGGGGGGGGGGGAGGGGGGGAAGGGGGGGGGGTAGACGTGACAGCCTCGATGGAGATGAACGTGAAGATGAATGTGCTTGGGTCTGCATCTTTTTTCGTTCTTTCTTTTTTTTTCGCCATTTTTTTTTTCTTCTTTTATTTTTTTTATTTATTTATTTCTCTTTTTTTACCTTTTTCTTTTCTTTTTTTTTAACTTTCTTTTTCTGTTTTTTTTTTCTTTTTTCTTTCTATTTTCTCTTTTTTCCCTTTTTCTTTTTCTATTATTTATTTTTTTCTTCCCCTCCCCTTTTTGGGGTGGGGGGGGGGGGGGGGGGGGCGGTGGTGAAGTAGGACTTCGAGAGGTGGAAAGTTTGAGGAGGCGGCGAGGCTGTGTCTGAGTAAGGCACGCACACACACACACACACCACATGATTGCACACGTATACATACTCAAGTGAATGTATGTATACACATATATAGAAATATTCACAAATATATATTACAGATATCACATATATAAGCGCTCACACAAAATCAACACGCACATTATTATAATTATGTCATCTATTATTATTCTTATCATCATTACCATTATCATCATCTTTTCATTCATTTACCTTTATTATCAATCATTTTATTATTATATCATTATCATTATTCATTATCATAATCATTATTATCATTATCATTTATCATCATTATATCATTATCATCACCATTATCATAATTATGATCATTATCATTACCATCACTATCATCACCCTTATCATCACCATTATCTTCATTATCATCGCTATTATCATTATCATCAATATCATAATCATTCATATGAACAAGGTCTATATTAGTACTTATATAGACCTTGGATAAGAAGGGCATCCACTCGGGGCTACGGTCTCACCGATAAGGGCCAAAGTCCTTTGAAAAAAGGCACCGTCCTGGGCCTTACGAGGGAGTTCGTGACGTAATGTCGGGTCATATTGTTCATATTTATCATCATTATTATTATCATTACCATTATTGTTATTATTATTGTTATCATTATTATTATAATTAATTATTTATTATTATTATTATTATTATCATTATCATTATTATTACTATCATTATTATTATTACTATTACTATTTATTATCTATTATTATTATTATTATTATTATTATTATTATTATTATTATTATCATTAACATTATTATTATTATCATCATTATTATTACTCTACCATCGTTATGATTATTATCATTATTATCATCATTATTATTATCATTATCATTATCATTTTTATCAGTATTATTATTGTTATTATTGATATCGTCAAGATATTTCCATTATTAGAATATTACCATTACTATCAGTGGAATATTACTGTCATTATCAAAATCATAATTGCAATCACACTCGCAATCATTATCATTATCGCTTTTATCATTATCATTTTCATAATCATTATCATTGGTCTGATTACGGTTTTTTATCATTGTGATCCTTATTGCTGATCTTAATGTTATTGTTGATAATGGCAATAATAATGTTACTGATAATGATAGCAATAATGATAACGTTCATGTTAACGATGAAAATAATAATGATAACAACGATAACAACAGGAAGAACATCAACAACAACAATAACAATAACAAAAACAATAAAAACAACATAAACAACCATTTAGCGATAATTACAATGACATTAATTGTGATAATGATACCGTTGATGATAATAATGATACTGCTGTGATTGCGGACAACGAAAATAAACAGAAAAGATATAATCTCAGCAAAAATAATGATGATAAAAAGCAAAGGTGATTTTATCGTCATCATAGTCATTACCTTCAGTGATTTTGATAGAAAACAAAGGTGATTTTAAAATCACATTGTAACTCTAAAATATCTTAAAATCATAGTTTATTTTTGAAATAACGTATATAATATTGATAAAAAACAAAAATGATATTATCGTCATCATAGTCATTACCTTCAGTGATTTTGCTATCATTTAAGGATTAATGTTATCATTCTAATAACATCACCATCCGGGAATTAATTAATTACCCTCATGCAAATATTAATGAGCATCACCATCCTGCTAGTAGTGATTAGTATAAGGGCTATTAACATCATTGTCCTAGTATTAATCAATAACATCACTATCATCCCAGTGTTAATTAGTGTGATTGTCCACCATCAATTATCTCAATTAATTAGTATGATTGTTCACCATCAATTATCTCAATTAATTAGTATGATTGTTCACCATCAATTATCTCAATTAATTAGTATGATTGTTCACCATCAATTATCTCAATTAATTAGCATGATGTCCACCATGTATGATTGTCACCTCAATTAAATTAATCTGTATGATTGTTCACCATCAATTATCTTAATTAATTAGAATGATTGTCCACCATCAATTATTTCAATCAATTAGTATGATTGTTCACCATCAATTATCTCAGTTAATTAGTATGATTGTCCACCATCATTATCTCAATTAAGTATGATTGTTCACATCAATTATCTCAATTAATTAGTATGATTGTTCACCATCAATTATCTCAATTAATTAGTATGATTGTCCACCATCAATTATCTCAATTAATTAGTATGATTGTCCACCATCAATTATCTCAATTAATTAGTATGATTGTCCACCATCAATTATCTCAATTAATTAGTATGATTGTCCACTATCAATTATCTCAATTAATTAGTATGATTGTCCACCATCAATTATCTCAATTATCAAGAACCCACTTAGCATCTTAATGACATCCACTTCCTCACTTACTCACCTTCGTCGACACATCCACGCAACGAGCTCTCCGCGATCTCTCCTCCCTCTTCCTCTCTCTCCTTCGCCTCCCCTTTATCTCTCTCCTCCATGTCTCTCTCCTCCTCTCCTTCCACTCTCTCTTCGCTTCTCGTCCCTTCGGATAAGTCGGCGTGGATCTCGACATCGCCAAGATCCGTTCTGGGGGTTGGAAATATCCGCTCTGAGAAGTGGTGGATGTGGATGGTGGATGAGGGTGGTGGATGTGGATGGTGGATGAGGGTGGTGGGTGAGGGTGGTGGATGAGGGTGGTGGTGGGTGTGATGGGGGTGGGTGATGGTGGTGAGGTGGTGGGTGAGGGTGGTGATGTGGGTGGTGGATGAGGGTGGTGGAATGAGGGTGGTTGGATGAGGGTGGTGGGTGAGGTGGCTGAGGGTGGTGGGTGATGATGGTGGGTGAGGGTGGGATGAGGGTGGTGGATGAGGGTGGTGGATGAGGGTGGTGGATGAGGGTGGTGGGTGAGGGGGTAGATGAGGGTGATGGATGAGGGTGGTAGATGAGGGTGGTGGGTGGGGTGATGTGGGGTGGTGGATGAGGGTGGTGGATGTGGGTGGTGGATGAGGGTGGTGGATGAGGGTGGTGGATGAGGGTGGTGGGTGAGGGTGGTAGATGAGGGTGGTGGATGGGGTGGTGGAATGAGGGTGGTGGGTGAGGGTGATGGATGAGGGTGGTGGATGAGGGTGGTGGATGTGGTGGTGGATTGAGGGTGGTGTGATGAGGGTGGTGGGTGAGGTGGTAGATGAGGGTGGGTGGATGAGGGTGGTGGATGGTGGTGGATGAGGGTGGTGGGTGAGGGTGATGGATGGGGTGGTGGATGAGGGTTGGTGGATGTGGGTGGTGGATGAGGGTGGTGGATGAGGGTGGTGGTGAGGTTGGGGGTGATGGTGTGAGGGTGGTGATGAGGGTGGTGGTGAGGTTTGGTGGGTGTGGATGGTGGATGGGGTGTGGATGAGGTGGTGGGTGAGGTTGGTGGGTGTGGATGGTGGATGAGTTGGATGGGTGGGGTGAGGGTGGTGGGTGTGGATGGTGGATGAGGGTGGTGGTGAGGTTGGTGGGTGTGGATGGTGGATGAGGGTGTTGGATGAGGGTGGTGGGGAGGTTGGTGGGTGTGGATGGTGGATGAGGGTGGTGGGTGAGGTTGGTGGGTGTGGATGGTGGATGAGGGTGGTGGATGAGGGGGTGGATGAGGGGGTGGGTGAGGTTGGTGGGTGTGAATGGTGGATGAGGGTGTCGGCGTCTTTCATTTTGTTTATTAATTTATTTATTTTTTAGTCCTGTTTAACTTTATTATTTTTATACTTTATTATTTACTCTATCGTTTATTTATTTGTGTGTGTGTGTGCGTGTGGATAGGTGGGTGGGCGGGTTTATGTGTGTGTGTGTGTGTGAGTTTATGCCTATGAGGAGGTGGGGGGGGGGGGTTATGTGTGCGCGTGTGTACCTCTAATTCCGTCTTCTTTCCCTCACACTTTTCATCATCTCATTATTCTCTCCCCCCCTCCCCCCTTCACCCCATCCTCTCTTCTCACACTTCACCCAAATCCTTCTTTTTATCCTTTATCCTAATCCCTCCTCTCTTCCCTCACTCCTCATTACAACCTCTCTTTCCCCCGCCCCAACCTCATACCCTTCTCCCTTCCTCCTCCCATCCCCTCACCCCCCCCGTTCTCTCTCTACCTTCCTCTATCACCTCCTCTCCCCTCACCTTCCCCCATCCCTACCCTTTCCCCTCTTCTATTCTCTATCTTCCCCCTTCTCCTATCCCCCCCTCTCCTCTCCCTCTCCCCTCATCTGAACTCCCATCCTACCCTTCCCTCCCCTTTCTCCGCCCCTCTCCTCCCCACCCCCACCCTCCCTCCCCCTCACCTCACCCTCTCCCCTCTCCCCCTCCTTTCACTCTTCTCCCCACCCCATCCCTCCTCCCCTGAATCCCCCCACCCCTCCCCCCCTCCCCTCCCCTTCGTCTCCCCATCCCCATCCTCCCTCCCCTCACTCTTTAACCCTAACAGACCCTCCCCCTCCCTGAACTCCCATCCTACCCTCTCCCCTACGTACCTGGGCACTTGGGGCATGTGGATCGTTCGTGGCACTCTCGTTGACTGCGGGAGAGGGGAGCGGGAGAGCGTGCAGGACTGAAGGATCATGTCCTCCACACACCTGAGGGGAGGAGGAGAGGGGAAAGTTATTATTATGAGAAATGTTGGGGATTTATGAGGGGAATGTTATGATGCGTAGGGAGATATGTTGGGGGATTTTATGAGGGGAGAGAGGGGAGTTAAGTGTAGAAAAATTTATGTTATCGTAGGGAAAATGTTGGGATTTTATGAGGGAGAAGGAGAGGGGAAAGTTATTATGTGTAGGGAAAATGTTGGGAATTTTTATTGAGGGGAACGTTATTATTATGTGTAGGGGGGAAATGTTGGGAGATATTATGTGAGAGGGAATTATGAAAATGTGTAGGGGGAATGTTGGGGTTATTTTATGAGGGGAGGAAGGAGAGAGAAAATTATTGGGTAGGGAGAAATGGGGGGGATTTTTATGAGGGAAAAGGAGAGGGGAAAGTTATCATTATGTGTAGGGGAAATGTTGGGGATTTTTATGAGGGGAGAAAGAGAGGGAAAAGTTATTGTTATGTGTAGGGGGAAATGTTGGGGATTTTATGAAGGGAATTATTATGCGTAGGGGAATGGGAGATTTATGAGGGGAGAGGAGAGGGAAAAGTTATTATTATAGGGGAAATGTTGGAGATTTTATAGGGGAGGAGGAGAGGGGAAAGTTTATTATGTATAGGGAAATGTTGGGAGATTTTATGAGGGGAATGTTATGATGCGTAGGGGAGTTTGCGGATATGGAGAACGAGAGGGAACGTTATTATGCGTAGGGGGGAATTTTTTATGAGGGGAGAAGGAGAGGGAAAGTTATATCATTGTAGGAAGAATGTTGGGATTTTATGAGGGAGAAAGGGAGGGGAAAGTTATTATTATGGTGTAGCGGAAAATGTTGGGGATTTTTATGAAGGGGAAAAGGAAGGGAAAAGCCATTTTATGAGAATGTTGCGGGGGTTTATGAGGGGAGAGAAGAGAGAAAAATTTTGATCATGTGTAGTGGGGATGTTGAGGGATTTTATGAGCGGAAAGCAGAGGAGTAAAGGATTTTAGAGTATGAGAGGATTTATGAGTATGGGGGATTTTTATGAGGGAAATAGGAGAGAGTGAAGGGATGATGTGATGGCCTGTATGGAAATATGAGGATTTATGAAGCGGAGGATTTTATCCAGGAAGGCTAGAGAGAGATTTATGAGGGGAGAGCAGGAAAAAGAGGGGATCTAGGAGATCGGGGATTATAGGGAAGAAGTTTAGGAAGGGATTTATGAGGGAAGAAAAACCTTTGAATATTAAATGGAGAATGTTTGCTTTGGCAGTGGTGGGAACATTTATGAGTGGAGGATTTTTATGAGGGAAGAAGAGAGAAATTTATGAGTAATAGAGTAGGGAGAAGAAGGGAAAATAAGCATAATTTATGAGTTGGGGGGTTTTAAGAAGGAAAGACTAAAGACATTTTATGAAGGAACTTTTAGAAGAGATTTATGATAAGAAAAGGGTTATTAGTAGTGGTGTAGTAGTATGGGGACATTTATGAGTGAGGGATTTTATGAGGGATGTCAGAAATTCATGAAGGGATTTATGAGTACCGATGAGAGAAAATTGGCAAAGTGCAAAGATTAGCTGAGGAAAATTATGGGATTTATGAGTAGAGAAAAGGAAAGGGGTTTGTTCGTAGTGGGTGAGGAAAAGGGGATTTATGAGTGGAAGGATTTAATGAGGTGATTAAGGGCTGATTTATGGAGTGATTTTTATAAGGCAAAGAAGAAAGGATTTATGAGTGGGAAGGATTTCATGAGGCAGGTAAGAAGGGATATTTTAAGGTTGAATAGAATGAAACAGATTAAGAAAACATAGAATAAAAATGAGAAATTAAGGAAAAAAGGAATTATGAAGATTTATATGAGTGACTGAAAATGAAGTGTACAAAGAAAGTTGAAATTAATTGGCTTTATTGAGGGAAATAGAAAGAAAAATATAAGGAAAATAAAAAATGAAATCAAAGGTTACAACGTAAAATGTGTAACGTAGAAATAAAGATAAAAATGATGACACACACAACGATAATGATGAAAATGCCAAAGAGAAGACAAAGAAAGGAAAAGAAAAAGAAAAAAGGAAACAACAGAAAAACACTCGATAAAGTAAAAATATAAAAAGGTAAAGAGAAAATGAAAATGCAAAGAAGAAGACAAAGAAAAGAAAAAAAAGAAAAAAGGAAAAACAGAAAACACTCGAAAATGAAAAAATAAAAAGGTAAAAAAAAAAAAAAAAAAAGAAGAAAGAAAAAGCCAAACAGACGCATTCGAACGAAGTCAACGTGAGAAACTGGAACGTGTTTTGAACGTGTTGATGGCACCGAGTTTGAGCTTGGATTAGTAAGCTTTTCTGTTTTCTTCTTCTCCCTTTTTCTATTTCATCTATTTTTCTTCTTTTTTCTTCCTATTTTCCTTTTTCTTCTATTTCTTCTTCTTATTATTATTTTTATTATTATCATTTTTCATTATCATCTTACCACCAGAATTATCAATTTATCGTTATTGTTACTATTGTTATCATTACTATCATTCTATCAGCATTACTATTGTTCTTATTATAATCATCATCACTATCATTACTATTGCCATTATCATTATTATTAAGAGCGAGAGAGAAAGAGAGATAAATAGATTAGAGAGAGAGAGAGAGAGAGAGAGAGAGAGAGAGAGGGGAGGGAGGGGGGGGAAGAGGGAGAGAAGAGAGAGAGAGAGGAGGGGAAAGAGAGAGTGAGAGAGTGTGAGAGAGAATGAGAGAGAGAGATAAAAACATGCAGAGTGGAACCAGAGAGACGGACATGCAGAGCAAAAGAAACAGACAGATAATGAGATACACAGACAGAAAACATGAAATAAAGAAGAAAGAAAGAGAGAAAAAATGAAATAAAGAAAAAGAAAGAAAAAAAAAAACATACCTTCTAGCCGCTGAAGATGCTATTGTGTCTGCTGTGGAGTAAGTGTTGCCATCATTCCTGTCAAAAGAAACGGAA